GTGCAATCAATCAGTGTAATCTCAAACCCAGGACATTTTGCAGGTCCCTTTGCTTTCTTCACTCTAAGTATACACACGATATCAATTAAATGTTAGGATTTTGTAAAACACATACTGCATTTTTTCAAGAGGAACCAAGTTGCAATCAGACACTTGTATTCATAGCATTGTTACTGCTGATTGATTGAAGACAGGGTTAACAGCAGAAGGAGAAACACTATGTTCATTCCCACAAAACTTACCTGTAATGATCTAAACGTATGGTTAAAATTAGGGGGTTTTATATGCTAAAACTTCTTATTTGGTGACTCAGAGCAACCTGCTATTTATTGCTCAATCAAGACTGACTGGCAGATGCAATTTTCTCTTTGGATAGCTGTATTAGAGCATAAACTAAACCACTCAGAAAATAATTCTACTTAGTATGTGGAAACACAGAAAAATCAGTAATTATTCATCAACTGAGTGAAAATTTCCATTAGATAGGATTCTTTTGTTCTCTGGTCAAGGCATGACAAAAAAAAAAAAAAAAAAAAAGACAAAACCAAGCAAACAATGAGATTATGACTTCGAAGGTTGATATGGGTCAAAACAAGACCATCGAAGTGACACAATGCTCATTTTTAATTAGACTTCCTAATGTGACATCAAATTGGTTTTCTTCTAAGAAACAGCCCTTCGACAAGGCATGAAATCCTCGCAGCTTAGTTTATTAGGAGGCAACAAAGGGATTCCAGTCTGCTACAACAAAGTTTCAGCCTATAAGCACAGCCAGTGCAGTATAAAATTGTGTCATATGAATTTTAATGTGACACAAGTATGAAAGATTCCAAAAGAACAAAGGCAGCACAGTCCTGTTCCACGCTACACAAATGACCTATTCTGATCTGAACAGCACACCACATTACAATCAAATTTATTTCAAAGGAGGGTTGCACAGGTCAAATGTAATGGCTGCAAGAATGAGGTATTTCCTTTATGTAATATTAGAGAAAAGCAAAATATCAAACAGTGCAGTAATGCCAGGGCACTGAAAAGGAAGGCATATTTAGGCTGCAGGGAAATAGATTTTATAAAGATGTTTTAATTATATGTCATTCTCACTGACTACAGTTTCTAAGTTTCAAATATACTATGATACCTCGATGAAGATGTCATGTATACAAGTGAGTTTGCTTATTACACAGCCCTTAATATATATTTAAAATTTCAAGGCACCAGAGAAAAGTTTCATGTACAGTTCACACTTAACAAAAGGAGATAGGCTATGTGGTCTAACTGGCTGGATGTCTCTTTGTGGGCTGACATCTCTATGGCAGAAACCATGATATTCCCAGACGTCAGAATCCAACAACAATAGAAGCTGGTAAAGCTCCGCAGCTGATTGTCCGACCTCACAACAAAAGAAGCAAACTACTTTAACAACTTAAAGGATCAGAACAATGAGGTCTACTTGAAAATACTGGACTATCAGAAAATATACAGAAATTCATTATGACGTAAATCCAAAAGCAGAAGAGCAATTAAGGATTAGGTGAAAAGCAGGCAAAAAAATCTTAATGATCAGGTATCACTAAACAGAAAAGTAAGGGCAAATTCTCACAGTACTTCTTGTCATGTATTTCCATCAAGATTTAGGCTTCATCTTTGTCTTCAAATCAGACTTCTGAACACTATGATGGAAAAACAGCTCCAAGTCCTGACTGCACGGTTCAGAATGGATGTTTGTCCATCCTCCGTGACTGGAGACAACACTCATGCATGCTCTGAATACAATTTGCAGGTATGTGGGCAGTAGGCAGCCAGGGTTACAAGTACTTAAGGCAAGAGAGCCATAAAAAGTCAGAAGAAAACATGTTATACCTCTTTAAAAAAAACAAAACGAAACAAAACTTTTTTATTTTACAATGAGATGAAGATTTACTACTTGGGTTTTTGAAAATTAAGTTCTTGAAAAACTAAATTCTATCAGAAATTTCAGCACAAATCAAAGCTTGTTGTTGTGGAGTTTTTTCAATAAAATGAAAATACACTATTGAACTATCTTCCATTTGATTCACAGCCAGGGCTCCCTCAGTCACAGAACAAGACAGAATAAAAGCTGCATTGGAAGAATTTCTGTAATGAACTGGCCACCAGCCCAAAGGTTAGAATTAGTTTTATTGCCCAAGTCTAGCACTAAAATCGGCATTAGTCACCTCAGCTCTCCAAGTTCTAATCAATCTACTTCCTGGGAGACTTCGAAATATTCAAAGAATGTAGACTGTTATGACCAAAAAACCCCATACCAGTAACTTCCACAGTGTATAGGAATGTAACATAACCAGCAAGAGATAAAATCCTATTGACATATTTAAAAATTATGTTAGTTTCCAGAACTCATATGTCTCTTCCCTCCTTTCAATATTTTTTGGAGGTTAAAAATACTCATTCGCCACCAGACATTTACATCCCTGAAAATTGACATATTCACCTACATTATGACAGCTCTACTGTAATTCATTAATGTTTGGACTTTGAGACAGACATAAAGGAAAAAAATACAAACCTTTAATGTTTCACTTGGTGAACAAAAATCGCATTAATTTAGATATTCAGTCACAAGAATCCAATTAGTTATGGATATATACACACATATTCACACCTTTCAACCATCTTACTCATTTGAATTTTGATGCTATTTTCTACAAAGTATAATCCATTTTACATTGTATTTAATAGATTTATTCAGATTTGCATTTCCATATGTCATATTTAAGCTTATACTACCACCTGCCTGAGGCTGTATAGTCTGAATTGTCACCCTCATAAACCACTTCAGTAGGAGAAAATGCTCTGTAGACACTGTATGAACTGTTTCCCTTCTGCTTAGTGTAGATGTATGATAATCATTATGACCATGAATAATAACCACACATACACAAAAAAGCAGTTATACGTGTCCCTCTCAAAAAATCAGATTACCATATTCACAACAAAATATTCAAGCTTCTTAAGATATGCTGCAATGAAATACCATCTTCATAAATTTTTTTACACAAGTCAGCAAGTATCTACCAAGATTACCGTGATATGAACTCTACATTTGTTGCATACATGCCATACACAGAGGTATATAAAAGTATTTACATATATAGAGATATGCATATATATAATTTCACACTTAAAGGACACTGAGATACCTTCCTATACAGATTTGCAAATCAAGTAGATTAACTCTGCTTCCAACTACTAACATCAAGGCAATGTAATATCATCATCTCTCTGCTTTGTGTTGGACCCATGTAGTAACACTGCTGAGCTGGAGAAAAACTGACGAGCAAAGGTTAAGCAGAGGACTGCCAGAAACAAACTAGGGCTTAGAAATTGCTCCTTTAGATAAGACTAATGCTTGACTGATGCACAGAGTGACTTTGAGGTTGCAAAATCATTAATAAGAGCATCCATTCTCTTTGGATTTACATCTTCTCTCACACATTTGGAGTTGGGGCAATTAAGGGTTTGGACCAAACTTTCCTGTGCTCTTTTGGAATTAACAGCCCTGCCATGGTACCAAAGCGCTCCAAAGGTCAATCTATGATTATTGTCCTGCCATCCTGCACACTGTGTCTGCAAGCAAAGCACAGTTTCTGGGGGAAGGGAAAAGGGCAGAGGAGGAGACAAATACTAGCACTGTGATAAGCTCAAAGATCATGACTTGGAGGAGGGCAGATTTCACATGGTCCCTGCTCTGTTAGGTTTCAGGGGAAGCAGGAAGAGAGGCAGCCCACCTCCCTGGAAGGGACAGCAGGTAGAGACTCTGCACTTTTCTGCACACCTGAAGAAAAAATGAAGAATGAACTCAAAGAAGAACTCCAGACCTCCTCTCGGCCCTAGTCGGGTTTAGTCTCGAGCCAACAGCGACTTGGATCTTTTGGGATTATTGACAACATCGGTAGCTGTGCAAGACAGCGAGCCTTCTCGTTCTTTCACACACAAAAGGTGAGGAGAAAGCCCAAACTGATGATTCCCGGAACCGACTGAAGTTTAGAAAATCCCGACCCCTGTACACACTCTGCTCCAACTTCACTACCTTTTCAAGGTTTGCTGTACCCCGTCAGGGAAAGTGCACATGGCCAATTTGATAACACTGTGTCGCTGAGCACCCCGGTGTGGACTGAGACCAGCCACGCTCACCTAAGGGACCGCCCCTAGTTTTTATCACTGTCAGACTCTGCATCTGCCTTTCGGTCCATGAGGCTGTCACCCCCTCCCCTCCGCGCCCGCTCCCGGCCCGCTGCAGGCTCCCATTCCCCAGTCCCCCATGCTCTGGGGCACGGCCACCCCCATATCTCCACGCCCGCTTTTCTCAGTTACTATCGGGTTGCTCTGGTACCAGCCTCCAGCGTTTTCAGACCCTGCCTTGATTGAAGACATCCCTCTCCCACAATGGGAGAGAGAGTGAGAGAGAGAAGAAGAATCTATGCACAAAGTTTTTTACAGATCCTGCCTGCGCCTTCCTCTCCCCGCCCATACCGCTGCCGGAGGCAGTAGGGCGAGGGACGGGGGGACGGCGGTGGGAGGGGAAGCGGGGGAGGCAGGGACGCCCAAGTGGGGTGTCATCCTCGGCCTGAGGAGGACGGGGGAACTGGACGCAGCTTTTAGCGGACTGTGACCCTGGCAGGCGATCGCTGAGACAGAAGGGAGGAGCGGCGCCTTCCCGGAGACAGAAGCAGCCGGCTCTCTCCGAGCGCAATGGCAGCGCATCCCCACCGACCCCTACGGAGCTGGGAGCAAAGTCCGAGCCCCAGCGGCGGCGGCAGCAGCAGCAGCAGCAGAAGCAGCAGCAGCAGAAGCAGCGGCAGCAGCGGCAGCGGCAGCAGCGGCAGCGGCAGCAGCAGCAGGTCGCCGCGCCCCGAGCTGGCGGCCCCGGCCCGGGGCACCGCCGCCCCCCAGGCCGGCGAAGCGGCCGCCAGCGCCTCGCCCCCACCCCGGACAGGGCCGGCGAAGGGAGAACTCACCCCCAGCTTCCTGCTGCGGATTTTCACGTAGCCCTGTTTGACTATATCGTTAAAGTTGGAGGCCATGGCCAGCGCTGCCTGCTTCCTCCCCTCCGCGCCCGGAGTCGTCCTCGTCCGCCGCCGCCTCCTCCTCCTCCTCCTCCTCCTCCCCCGGGCCCTCCCGGGTGCCGCCGGCCACTGGCTCCAAAGGCGCTTCTGGCATCCAGGCAGCGACAGCCGCCGCGCTCCGCTCCGCCCGCTCCGCGCCGCTCCCGCGGCCGCCCGGCTCCGCTCCGCCCGGCGCCGCCCCGGGGGCGGTGGCGGCCGCTCCGCTCCGCTCCCCCGCTGGCCCCTCGCTGCCCCCGCCCCGGCCGCCGGCCCCGCTCCCCCCTGCTCCGCTCCGCTCCGCCCCGCCCGGCGGTGGCTTCGCGGCTGCCCGCGCCTACGGCCGGGGGCGGGCGGGGCGGTGGGCGGGAAGGGCGGAGCGGGGACACCGCCCCGCGGCGCCGCGGAGCCGCCCCAGCGCCCACCCTGCCCCCAGCGCCCACCCTGCCGCCCCCAGCGCCCACCCTGCCGCCCCCAGCGCCCACCCTGCCGCCCCCAGCGCCCACCCTGCCGCCCCCAGCGCCCACCCTGCCGCCCCGGGGGACGGGCACCCACCGGGGTGGCGCGGGTCTGCTGGCCCCGGGAGAGCTCCGCGCCCCCGGGCGTGACACGGGGCGGCGGCCAGATGCTCTCCTCGGCCTTGGCCGAGTGGGTTTACCTACTTTTCTCCAGGCTGGCAGATGGTCGCGGCCGCGGCATCCCCGGCTCGTGTGGCAGATCCCTTCGGAAACGCGGCCCGGGAGGGCATCTTGCCGCCTCATGTATTCAGAAAGCCGTGTAGTTGCCCACCAGCAGACACTGAACTCTTGTGTTAATTTAACCAACTTAATGAAATAAACATATGAACTACGGGGCGGGGAGGTGGGGGGGGGGAGAGAAAGAAAGAAAGAAAGGAAAAAAGTCCATCTGAAGTTAAAAAATGAGCTGTCACGCATAGGCATTCTGTGCCCTCTACAGTGATGACCATGTCTTTAACTATTGTTCACTGAGGTGGATCTAGCAAAAGAATGACTTCTGAGGAAAACAGATAAAGTTTAGGAGAGATTAGGAAGGTAAAAACAAACAAACAAACAAACACACAAAACCCCAAACTAAATGAAAACAACACAACAAACCAACCAAACAAACAACCACAAAACAAAACAGAAAACTAAACAAAAACAAGCAGGGAATTGCTTGTGTTTGCTTTGGTTACATGTAAAATAGGGATGGACAAGAATGAACATAGGCTACTTGAGAAAGAAAAACTGTAAATATATGGAATTGACAAGTTAGGACATTACTGTTGTTACATAAAATTCTACTTCATAAATGCTTTCAATGGAAAAAATTTGATTAGTATGGTAAGCTTAACGAAAGCTTCATGAGCTCTTTTCCTACATTCTACTGCACCATTGCCCTGAAGTTTTATGAAATAGGAATTTGCAGTGTGCAGTGTGCAGACTGGGGCAATGAAACATAATTCTATAGTTAAAAGTTTGTCAGATTTATTTCAGATTTTCAAAATCAATAGACAATATTGGAGAAAAGTCTTGCAGCAAATAGGAAAGATACAATCTAGAAAAATTATTACAGTACTTGGATGAAACGTAACTTTACTCTCTATAACTACCTGTGGTACTACATCCAGCTCTGGAGGCCTTAGTATAGGAAAGACCTGGACCGGTTGGACCGTGTCCACAGGAGGGCAATGATGATTAGAGGGATGGAAAATTTCTCCTATGAGGAAAGGCTGAGACAGCTAGGGTTGTTCAGTCTAAAGAAGGCTTCAGGGTGACATTGTCTTCCAGTACCAGGTCTTCCAGTACCTGAAGGGTACAACTGAGTACTAAAGTATTTTTGCTAGCCCACCATCAACCAGGTATAGTATTCCATTTAAAAATAATAAAACAGAATCTTAATATTATGATCTAAAGACTCTTGCATCTTCATTGACTGCTTTTAACTTTGCATCCACATCTAACAAGTGTGAAAATTACACTCTTATTGATCTCTTTCCCCAGAATAACACTTATTATTTACTTTGTTCTGAATTTTTTTGCCTTAGTCAAACAGTGATTGGTGAAGCAGATGAATATTTACCTATACTTTTATATTCTAGCAACTCAGCTCCCAATTATACAAATTTCAAAGCATCTGCTTGGAGTAAGAGTCTGCATTATTTTTATCCAAGTAAAAACCTCTATATAATTATGCAATTTTTTATAAAATATAAGATCATAAAATGGAATAGATACAATACTTAGCCTATTGTTGCTTTCTTGGTATTTCTAGTGAAATGTCAAAAGGATATTACGAGCTTGAATTCATACTTCAGGCAGAATATGATTTCTTCCTTAATTTCTGTTTTATCAGTATGTAAAATCAGAATATTCAGTAATTTTAGGGAGAAAACTGGAATATCCCTACAAGAGAATTCTTTCAAGACACTACAACATGTTAAACAAAAGTTTTGTTCAAAATGAAACTAGCAATTATTTAAAGTACAGAAAGCTCTTGAAGGATCAAAAAGGTACGGAACATTTCCTTTCGATTGCCAACCAGAAAAGTACATAATCCTATTCAATTAACTGACAAAAAGACATTTCCCTTACAGATTAACCCTGAAAGATTTGTAAGTTTGCAGAGCTGTTTTCACATGCAGTTCCTGCTCCCTCTTCACCACTTCTCAGCTACACAAAATTTGATTTGTAGGATCTGAGAAAAATTTGATATGTCCTCAAATAGATAGAACTAATGCTATTTAAAAAAAAAAATGTTCTGTATATCATTTATCATTCAAAGAGACACACAACAGCATTCAGAACACACAACACTCCTGGACACTTTTTAGTTTTCCAATCTCTGCAGGAAGAGGTAACATGCAGAACTTGTGTCACCTCCCTAACATGCATGTCTTGTTGTCAGAACTCTGCTGTACAAAATTTCCTGCCAATGAAATTGAAGAGAGTGCTGTATTTCCAAAGTTAATCAGCCATTTATTCTTAAGTATATTGTTTTATCATATAACATGCATGGAAAATGGGTTTGATTTATAATAATTATACAAATATTAGTAACTTTCAACAGATTTTTCTCCAATTGTTTATTGTTGTTCTTGTATCTTTCTTTAATATCCTGGTATGAATGCCATTGTTATTATTTATTTTATTACCAAAAAAATGCAACAAGAGAGAAGCAAAATATGTGTAAAATACAAAGCATTTTCATTCTACATTCTACAGAGTGTAAATTAGCCAGCCTGAGCTTATAAAATTATCAGTCTGGTATTTATTTTCAGCTGCTTTGGATAGCATCAGCCAGAATAATCAAATATTCATTTGCATAGGGGTCCCATGGGCACCTTGAGGCACAAATACATAGCAAGGCCACTCTGAATCACAGGAATGCAGACAAACTGTCTTGTTACTTCCCCACAAAAATACTCTTGTAAGACGTACATGCATTGTATTTGCTGAGAAAGTCACAACTTATGAAGGAAAATTCCCCAAAGCAGTCACCCCAAATGTTTTATCCTGTTTCTCTCCAGAAATCTCAGTAAGTCAAATGTTCTCAGAAACTCAACAGGAACAAACTTAATGGGCAGTGGCAGGGAGGACATAGTATGATTCCATCTGAAGAATACATTGCCATGACTAATGCCTTATATGTTCTCTAAAATATGATTTCTGATATGCCTGTTGTTGTGAAATCGTAATTTGGAAAGGGAAATATTCAGCAAGTAATCAAGTCACAAATTGTTTCAAGCAGAGAAGTTAATTTCTGATCTACCTAGGTGCAATCAAATCTAATACTATTTTGGACAGACAATATGTATTGCCATCTGTCAGAAAGTAATTATTTGAATGAAATTATCTTCACGTATACTTGCTTGACAAAGTGAACAAATTTAGGCAGTATATGTTTTAAATCTGACTTTATATGATTGGCAGTCATGAATGATTTTCCAGCAACAGTTATCAGTGTTTGAAGTTTTCAGCCAGAGTGAACTTTCATCACACTTGTCAAAGAGGACCACAGAGAGCTCCTCTCAGTTTTTAACAAAGCAAGCTGTTTCTCCCTCTACTTTACTGACCAAGTACCAGCTGAGACTAAAGGAAAAACTCTGCTTAAAAGTTTATCTGGGAACTGGCAGTTAGTATTTAATCAAGACATCACATAAAAAACATGTTCTCACCTAAAGCTGTTTCCAGGCTAAAATAAACAGTCATTTTTATTATGATAGTAGAAATTTGCATCGGCAATGCCAAAAAAGAAACATTAGCTAATGTATTATTAATGCGCTGAAAGTCTACCTTCAGTTAAGCTTCAGACAATTATTTTGTTCCAGCCATAAATCACATACTAACCAGAGTCCTTTGTGAACTAGCATGAAATACAAATCATCTAGATGGACAATATTAAAAAACTATTGTTTTCCATGGGCATTGTAAAAAGCAAAGCCATTAGTTCCTGCATGAAACCACATGCATATTTATTACTGGTTTTCTATCCAGATCCACAGTACATATTCTTTTTTCCCTCAAATACAGGATAGACATATAGACTTATATCTTACACTGTCACTCCTGGCCTGTGTCAGAAGAGTAAATTTAAAAAAGTGTCATCTCCTGGTTTATGGGGTGATATAGCTGATTTAGTCTGGTTTTGAAGATCAAAAAAGGGAATGTTGTTACCTCTGCTTTTCTACCAGACAGCTAGTGAAAGTCAAATCTCTGCTCCTCTGAGACTCTGACTTTTGACACAAATCATAATTTATGCTTTTTGCTCTTTGCCCCAAATCAAGAAGCAGTGGGGCCCCTGTAAGTGTGCTGGCAAACTAACTTTGTCTTTACAGATGTGGTCTCTTGGAGGTAAACTACTCCAGCCAGCAGCACAACTTTCCCCAGATGTCTACCTTGGTCTGGTTTTGGAGAACAATGCCCTGCAGCAGCTATATTAGAAGAATTTGTATACTGACTTTATTATAAAGGTCTTAGGCTGATACATTTGACTGTGAAGGGCAACATCCAAGAGTAAAATACTACGCTTCTGCTTGTTTGCGAGGAAATAATGTTTCAAATTAAGGCAGATAAATCTTAGA